AACGACAACGACTAACTGAAAGGCCGTTCACTTTATCATTCTACCTCCATGAAATGAGATACGTTGGAAAGAAGATACATTTATCTATACGTGCCAACAGGTACCTACATGACTCATTATTAACGATCCTTTAGATCGTTAATAATTTTGTATTGCTGTCCGTCTGTGTGTCCGTGTGCACGATAACATTGAAAGGATCGATCGCTTTGGAAATTGGGACACATGTTCTTAAGGATATAAAAAAGGTCGCTATTGTTTTTCAGCTGCTACGTAGAGTATCGGGCCAAAAAGTTACAACCCAAAAACGATCTCGATGATCCTTCGGTACTTACAAGCTCTTTAAGCAGGCGGGTTGATCACACCCTAAACAATTAAAATAGACCTACCTATACCATTTGAAAGCTCATTCAAATGGTATCTTCTTTATTTAACGTCTTATTGAAGTAGGGTATCTCTAATTCGGGAATTTTCCAGAAACTGATTTATTATATATTAGCAATTGATGGATACAGCGTAAAAGGACATTTACTTGCCTTAGCTCTGGAATATTGTTATATGTTGAATGGTGGGCACATGGTTTTCGGAAAGGGATTGTTTCCCTTGTCCAAAGATGTACACTCAACTTGTTAATGTGTTATTCTTTCAAAGGAGCTTTTCGTGATCAGCGTGCTACTCTTTTTATGAAAATGGAGTTCATTGTATTCCTATTGTGGCTGTAGTTTTACTTGTATTTTGCTTTAATTTATCTGTGTTTAATATTAACCTAAATACACTCGTATTCAGTCCTTTAGAGATGCTATTTTTGAGTTGGAGTGCTATTGGGAGGGATGGAAATTACTATGTCGCTTTAGAAGTTTATCGCTAGATGGCGTTACGCTTTTAGTCACTTAGTGTGATACGCCCACTGCAGGATTCGCTAGAATAGCTGACCTTTTTGCAATATTGCTGTTTCTATTATGAGAAAGCCCATGCAAATCTCCTATATGTTCAATTCCTAAATATAGTACAACTACAAGTCAATGCTTTGATATACCTGACATTTATGCAACACACTTTACACACAAATTTGACAGCAGTGTAAACAAAACTTAGCAATTATTTTAGATACGTATTCGGCCGATTTGTTTAGCTTTAGCAGATTAGTTGAGCGTTTATAGTGCTTTTTCAGTTACTGTAATTTTACTAATTTGCTGTGAAGTCTCGAATTCAATACGGACATGTGTGAAATTTCAAATTCTCTAGCTAAGTTACGAACAGTGATTTAAATGAATTTTCTTCTACGTACCCTAAAATACTTTAACTTCATTTCTGTAATTCAACCATCAACATGCATTAGGGCATTTTTTAAGAATTAAAAAAAATATGCTATTGTTTGCGTATTGTCCGTCGGCCCGACAGTGTGTTGGTTTGTTTATCTGCCCGGACCCACTTCTGCAGTTTTGAACTACTTTTAGGGGCATTGTCCTAGAGTCCTGGAATTTTTGGGATAGGTAACCTACACCTTGATGGTGTGCCAGACGACCAGAAAATTTAAGGGGGAGGGGGAGCATGAATTATTTCCTGAGATACTGTTTTTCATAGTAAAACGTGCATAATTTTAACATGTAACAATTGATTTCAGAAGTTATATAAGCATGTCTTTAGAGGTGCCTATAGTAAAAACCAGTGGCGAATTTAAATTTGTTGCGCCCCTAGGTACACTGAAAGAAATGCGCCCCAAAATAATCTTTAAATTGCAATAAATTTTAAAATAAAAATCAAATTATAACATGAAACTTTTAAAACTAATATGAAAAGAAATACAGTATACCTAACATTAAGTTTTCACACTCAAAACTTGCATTGTCGATTATGGTCCTTACAATTACATTTTGTTTAAACTATCTACCAATTCCAATTTATTGCATAATTTTAATTAAAAATGTTTGTCATTTGTAACTTGCTATGGGACTTATTTTAAAACTGAAAATGTTACCTAAAATAAATACAGTGCAAAAAATGCCGCCCCCTAAAGCTGACGCCCCTAGGCACGTACCTAGTGTGGTTATACGTAAATCCGCCACTGGTAAAAACTGGAGGGGGGGGCGCAGGGGTGAACACACGTTAATGGTATTCTAATGAAAGGTCCCATCGGAATGAAATGGTAGGTACTTTATTCCATCGTTTGCAGCACATTTTTTACATGCAGAAACCGGTTAAATCAATTCTTTTGCAATTTGGTCACGGTCGAACTACAGACTGCACCCTACAAATTTAAGCGGAGCTTAGCTTAAAATCTATGGCAACGATTATTGCGACAATGGTTACCATGAATTTTAAGCCTTAAGCCTTAAACTAAGCTCCACTTAAATTTGTAGGGTGCAAACGGCCGCTAGTGTAGTGTTACGATCTAGGTGATCAATATTCGTTGAAGAAAGCTAATTTTCTTTGTGAAGTATTTGCCAATGCGCTTTTTGTAAATAACCTTTCAATAACTATTGCCCCGTCTCACTGAATTTATAGTGATGAAGTATATACTCAGTACGTATGCTGGTATGCACTAAAATGGACCCTAAGTATGTCCAAAACTCCGTGTTCCATGGAGAACAAATGAATTTTTTGCATATAAATGATGGTAAAGTTCCAGCATTGTTTCTTAGAGGATATTCGTCCCTTCGGTTGATATTTTTTGTAGGTTGAAGATCTACTTGAATTCTAGGAATGGGCTGCAACTCTTTCCAAAATCAGCATATTCACGCATACTTTGCATATCATGGTGTTAACTGATTAAATGCGTTTATTAAAAGGTATCTTTTATATTTATTTATGATTTATGGTCTCACGCAATAAAATTTTGTATACTTTAAAAGATAGCTATCAGGGTAAGTTGCGTACTTAAAAAAAATTGTTACAAAAAGAGCTTCCTATACCTACAATTGAATTCAGAATTTAAAAACGAAAACAAGACAAAATTCTTATATAACTATCCGTGGATGTACCGATGTGGTTATTTAATGGATATCTATTCTTTATAAATGCTTTATACATTCTACATAAATATACAGGGTGGGCATTTTGTCTGGAACACAAAACAAGATTTCCCGCAATGAAACGTTTCATGGTATACAAAATTATGAAAAGTTTGTATAAATCCAAATACTTTAAATTTGTGATCAGTGGCGTACTTCTGCATGGTGAAGGAGGGTATAGTTTTTTAATGGCAATTACAAGTTTTCGTTACATATTCATAACGAGTGCACTTTTTTGGATATAGCAACATAAATATCTTATATTACATAATTTAAGAGATAAACTTAAATTAAGGAAAATAGTTGTGTTAATTAATTTTATAATTTCCCTAGTTATAATGATAGACGTCCATTCTGGCATTGTTTGCTTCAGATGCTAACATGACTTTATTCAGATATTGACAATATCTTTGAATAGTTCAGTGATTATCTATTTCTTGATCACCTCTCATCCCTGCGATTTAGGTATAATTGGAATTTATAAGTTAAATGTATAGAGCAATTGCTTTTGTTTGTTACAAGGCAATTTTATTTTGGTACCTAATCAACCGAAATGAAAAATCCCACTAAACACCGATGATAAATAGGTAGGTACGTTCCTCCAATTTTAATTATGATTAACCGAATAACTGGTTAATTGGAACTATGCGTACAACTATCACGTTGGTTTGGTTTATACAGTGGGTGCCGATGTGATGTAACACGTGTAAACACGTCGAACTATTTGAAATAAATGACATTTTAATGGGCCATCAACGCGAAATGCAGATTAATTTCTCAAGCGAACGGTACATTTTCAGTGTATATCAGAGTAAAGCATTGTAGGAGTTCATTCAAATTTTATCATCTATATCATAGAATAACAAACCTGGAAAACTTGAAAGGAACACGTAAAAGCAGCGGTCAGCCACTCAGCACACGATGAATGTGGAAAACTTTCCGAAATATGCATAGGTACATTTTTCTTGTCTATTAAATCTCATTTTCCAATTGAAAAACATGGAGCGTGACATAAACGAGTGGATGATTTCTAGAAATTATTTTAATTAACCTCGGACTCTTTTAATCAAAACAATTATAACGAACTGCGCGCTGGTTTCCTTTAGAGAAAAAAAATAACGTTTCTACCAGAGAAGATGCGGAATGATCTGAAAATTAATTTAGTTCTTGGAGAAAAGTAAAGTACGAAATTGCGTAACATTCCGTGGATTTATAATGATGCATTTTTAGTCTCAGATGTCACACGTTATACAATTTTTTTTAATAAACCAAGAAGCTCTTGTGCCATCATTAAAAAAGTAGAGATCTTGGTGGGTTTTTCAAATGAAAACGACGTGAATATTTAGATTGTTGTTATTAATAGAATTGGCCTGTATTTCCTTATGGCACATTAATGAAAAATAAGTAGTATCATTTTCCGTTTCCGTTAAAAGACCGAGTTTTTATCAATTCAAGTGTGCGCAGACATGCCTGAATCATTTCTTTTGATTACCCTTGTCAATTATCTCAAGTTAAGTTCCGTACTAAGACAGTTATTTTTAGGTTTACTGGTTGCCGCATTAATGTTTTAATGTAAAGTAAATGCGTATTAAGATTACGGTTTTGTATGAAAGCGTTTAAAGAAATTACTTAGAAAATTGCATCCTCAAAGGTATACATGGATTTTAAATGCTCTATACTTTTTTCCAGTAATTATCACAATTTTATTCAGCTTTGTAATTTACTTAATCAGAAAAAAAGTCATTATAAGAATTTGAATGGAATACAGAAGTGTATTACTGACCGCAATCTTAATTAGTACATAGGTACTTTAGTTATTCTTTCTTATAGCTCAAAAGAATAACTTCGCTTGTCGCATTGTTTCCTACTTGCAATTAAAGGTAATTGCGAACTGTAAGAAAATTTAAAAGTTGTTTTTCTTACAAGGGAAACATTTATTCAACTGTTTCGCTTTTGAATAAAGACGCGATTAACTTTTAGCTTGCAGCTTACCTTTTATTATTATTTGGTCGGGAGTGCTGTCCAGTTGTAGTCCATTTACTTAGTCTGAAAAGAGAAATTAATTAGAATTTCCTTATCAAGAACAACTTAATCGTCTCTCAGTTGTGTAATTTTAATCATAAACGCCCTAATTACGCCCTCCCCTGCTAGAGATTCTATTTCTTCTTACAATAATACATGTTACGCCCACTGTATTCTATTTCTCTTATCGTTACATTTTCGCAATTAGCGATATGTTTAAAAATTAAAAGAAATTAAATGCTCGTAACACTAATCACTTTCGACAAGGACTTCCCCGTGGATAATTTTCCTCATTCCATCAACGAGATAATGCCCCGTTTTTTTACATAAGCGCGTTTTTGAATTACCTAATAAAAGATCTTGTTGAACTAAAATGGTACAAAAAGGTATGTGATCCATAAGTCGTCTGAAAACTGTAGCTTCTTGTACAGATCTATTGAGTTTAGTTGATATAACCGACGCCGACAGTGGGTAATAGGTACACATGACAAAGTACAAAAAAATTAAAAAGGGAGAACTATCGAGCTCCTTTCGATTAATATAGTGCATAATTTTGTGTAGATAATAAATTACACAAATCACAAGGAACCCTTGGGTTTTCTGCAATTTGAAGACAGGCATAATCCAATGAAAAGAAACAGTTTTTGACATGAGCCTTTACGAAAACAGACACAAGTCCGTCGGACGCGGAAGCTCGGCACTCTGGGATCTGCGGGGTTAAATTTCCGTTTTTTCGTGGATGAGGGGTTGGAGGTTCGTTTGACTGCCAACTTTTCCCATTAATCAGCGCGTTGAAAAATTAATCAGGTCTATTATTAAATCCTCCAAATATTTAAATGTAATGAACTGCGGTCAATGTATTATTTAAGGGTAGTTGCGTCAGTTGCGTGTGCGCATTGGGCCTAGGGTGTAAGCTATTTCCGATCCGGAAATGGTTACCGGTAATTGCAAGTAATACCACGTGGAGCAGTTTGTAATGCACTTTATTTCAAAAATAAAACCTGTCTTTCCAATTTTAACCCTTTCACAACAATGGATTGCGGAACGCTTGCAACGTAGGCAACCAATTTCGCGTAGAGTAGATCGCATAGAAAAAAATGTTGGAAGTCAAAACTCAAAAGTAACATTTGACAAACAGTACGCGTGGCGAAGACCACGTGGTAAACACGTGTAGTGGCGCGTAACGTTAAATGAACAGTGTTGTGGGCGACCGCAATTAACCATAATGTGTAAACTAGTGACCAAATTATGTACATTGGGGGTAGGGGGTGAGGTGTCATTGAATCACTGTGTCGATTGATATTGCATGTGTAGTGAAATACATTAGCGTATAATCTGTGTTTAATGAGGCACAGGTGGGGGTGAAATGTATATGAACGAGATTGTACCAATTTATTGTAGATTCCGCATTAAACTGCCAGATCGTTGTTAATGGCAAGAAATTGTAACGAAGCGGCTATCTGAGCGCCGGGAAGTGCACTAAACACATGCTTCTGCATTTTGTGTTGCCTAACAGAAAAGTTACATCCCTGTATCGCACAGCCCCCTCTCTGTAAAACGATTAATAAAACATGGTTAATTTTACAAGTACTCAAATATTTATTGGCAGATAATGGGGGAACAATGGTAATTGATAATTACACCCGATAAATTGGGTAGTATAACCGCAAAAAAATTTAATTAGATCAGTCAATAAACGGGGTTAGTTATTAAATACAATAGCTCGTTCAATTGCATTAATATTCCCACGTATTTGACACTGACCTACCCTATTAAAATCGATCAGTTACATTTTTGCTACAATTTTTTCGACATATGCAACCAAACTAACACCCCAACCGTTTGGGTTTAGTCACCAGCACAATGATTTCAGCCCTTATGCTAGATATACATTCAAGTCGTGGGAACTTAATAAAAGCGCATTGTTTGTTCTAACGTACTTTATATGCATTGTGTGCTCCCGGCAATGTGATTTTGGTCAGTTCATGTTTAGAGTTTATTCGATTCACTATCCGAGTTGAGTGAAATAAACGGAATAAAAAATTGAAATTGCGGGTAAGTTTCATTTAGAAAATATTTCGAATCTGTTACAGATGAGATACTCGACATTTCATTTAATTAGTTTCGTCTGTGGATTAAAACTCGGATACCAATGAATTTAATAAAGAAAGATGCTTTGTGAAAAAACCGTTGAACCAAAAAAAGGTAAGTGGTCATTTTGGTTATTTCGACGGAAAAAAATTCACGTAACAAACACGCACATTTTGTAACGCGTCGGAAGTTTCAGGAAAGGCGTCGGAGTTCCCATGCAAACTGAAGAACAACATCGAAATAATTACCTGGATTTCAAGAAAAAAATAATCCATATCAATTTCTGGATCACTTCAGATTAGAATAAAAGTTTATTAATTGTTACGAAGAGTCCGATAATTCGAATTGGTAACTGTCTTTATATGAAGAGTTTGATACAGCAACACGAATAACTAAATTCCACTTGAAAGACGTCTAAGTTCACAAGTCCGAATATCTACCAAGTCATATCACGACTGGATGCCAAGCGTCGGGATAAGAGCGTCCGTATCCTGCGCAGGACAAGTCCTTACACTACGAAGGATACCGAAGGAGTGAAGGCGCCAAGCTAAGACATGAATATAAGGCGCTCCTTTAGGGAAAGACGACGGCGCCGCTGCACGTCGCCCGCCGACGACTGCGACAAGACGTCGTAGGAGAGCGTCGCGCGCCGGCGTCCCTCCCCACCCCTCCGACACGCCCCCGCAAGAGGTGGAGGACAGTAAATAAGATACTTTTTTAAGAATCTAAGATTTTTTAAGATCACCCGCACGTTCATGAAAATAAAAACTAACCCCGCGTTCGTACGTCGCGTACAAAAACCCTAATCCAGTTCCGCAAGCAACTGTAACAAACATCACAGAAAATAATTTAATTAAAACTTTAATTTGTCTATCCAGACTTTACTAATTCGCTCATTCATAACTTTGTTATCCCGCGGTTAGTAACTTTTTTGTTGAGCAGAAAATACAATCAGAGAAGGTAGTTTTTTACACCCGCGGAACAGCTCCAACATGAAAAATCTATCCTAATGCAAATACCTGGAAGGTCAAAGTGAAATTAACCCTTTTATACTCAACATCGAGTTTTCCACTCTGAATGTTGTAAGTCGCGCATGTTAAAATTTCGATACCAAAAAAAAACGAGTAACAAAGAAAAATAATTAAATGAAACAAAAGGGTGCCAATCAGAGTTAAAAATCAAGATTGATCAAAGTTCGTTTCCAAATTAAAGCGATTGATGATATTTGAAAGTGCTCACAATAGGTAAATAATACTCGCCTGTGTACGACTCCATCGTACGTGATCAAAAATTGATTGCAATCAATTCTCATCCCCCACTCCCATTGTACACAATCAACTTTCATTTTTTCCCATTGTTTCATGTTTACACGAACCCGAAAAAGCACCGGCGTGTGATCTGACGAACCGCGACGGTCACCCTTTTTATCAAAGCGCTCAGAAAAGCTCATGCAGAAATTCCGACGGCCGGCGTTTCGCCACTTCAATTTCGACACTTTTATGTTTCACGAGAATTTTTCAGATAGGTTTTTAAAAATGTATCGGAATAATATAAAGGCACTTACCAGAAGTCATCTCCAAGAGTTGTTAAATAACAAAAATAAAGCACAGACTGAAATAAATAATTGAAACGATATTTAAATAAAACTGCACTATATCTTGTATTATTATAGCGATGCCACCACAATCACCGAATTCACATTGTAATTATCGTAAGATTTCTTAGTAAAAAAATTGATAAAAATCATGCACAATTAAGAGAGAAAAAAATCTTACCTTACGTTAATACTTAAAAAGTTTAAAAAAAGCGCACACAGTTACTTTAGGAATCAACACACTTGGGGGGCATGGTAGAGAATGCGCGTCTTCTGCTTCACTATCAGCCCTTATCGCGGAGTGGGGGAACGCATGAGCAGCGTCGCGACGCCAAGGATGCCGACTACTGGCGCCCCGGAAAAACGGTGACGACGTCGCCAACTAAATTTGAGCAATTGGAGGATGAGAAGATGACAAAGCAGGAGAAAGCGCGTTCACGCAAGCTTTTCGATTACAGTTCGAACGTAACTGCGATACCGTCGATAAATACGACAGACACTAAAGGGTTGCAATTAATTGTGGTTATTATGAGGGTTGGTCCTTTTAGTCAAACTTTTTCTCCTGTTTGATATTAATGAAAAATTAGAAAAAAATTCTCTGTTGACGAAAGCTCTGTTTGAGTTTCGTTTTAATATAGCTATTGCTGCTAGTTATATATATACTTTCAGAATTAATTAATTAATTTCAAATACATCCCACTTATTAAATTGTTCTTTTTCTAGTTTAGAATTGTTTTACTAATTTATCTGTAAGTAATTTCAATTTAGGAATATTAGAATTTAAGTCCAAATTGTCTTCAGAATACAAAACGTGATATCATAATCTTATTATCTTGTCATTACTTCTTAGAATAATTGAAACCTTGTAATGCTGTGCAGTCTCTTAATGAAATAATAATATAATACTGTTTGGGCAATTGTGCAATGTATAAAAATATATTAGTTTATATGGAAACGTTTCCGAACCTGTCTTTTATGTTTCGTATTTGACAATTTTCATGGAAATTTATATAAAAGATTATCTGTCAGATAAATTTAACTGAAACATAAAATACTGACTCTAATGTTTATTTTTAGTTGTTTAATTATTTGTTTAGTTTTATGCAAAGAGTGTCAAGTTATTTGCTACGGAATTGTTGCATGTAACTGTTGCATTTGTTCAAATTTTTAATTTTCTCCAAAATTTTGCGAATAAGATGTGACTGTAGTGATATAGTTGTACTGAAGACCACAATTCACTAACTCTATCTGTTAGTTTTAGTCTTTCGCGAATTCATTTTCTACCACTTACAGCTTTGTCTGGTTTATAAAATGTAGAGAAAATCCTTTTTAGAGTAGAATACGTAGCGTGTGAAGGCGAATTATTTATTATGGTCATACCCATAAGTCATTATGAAATCTAACCCTTTGCTTCACATCGCGTGGCGTTTCTCGTGCAATCTTTTGGATAAAAGTATCTGCTGTGTTCAAATACATCCTGAAGATGGCATTCTTATCGAAACTAGTCTCATCAACATCAGATATATCGTCGATTGCGACAAAGTGGACCTTTACGTCCCTATAGTATGAGACCCAATTGCAGACGAGTTTTTGATTCTCATGTCAACACACGAGCGAGAAAAAGATGGTAAAAATGTACCTATTCTTCTTTTCACCCCCCTCTCACGCCAGGAACTCGCTCTCAGAAAAACTCGCATTCAAGAAAGCTCGATCCTAACGAATTGATCCTCGACAGCAGGTATGAGCGAATGTCAAATTGTTGAGTTCATTTTCATCTTCACCCCTCACTTCCATTATACCGGTTCCAAGATGTTAGCTTTCGGTAAAACCACTCTTACTCACGCTGGTAAATTCACTTACTACCACGGTTTACCCATAAAAGTACTTGCCTCAGATTAACAACTCAAAAAAAACTGCTTGCACCATGATATTTAATCAGTGTTCAAGCTTATGCATCGTTTAAAACACATGGTAACGAGTGTCGCAATTATATCGCCATTCGTAATTGGGTCTATACAGGGTGAATGTTTTTAAAGTGTTACAAGGCGGTATCTCTAATATGGTTTTAAATATTTTTATGAAATTTTGGTAGCCTAATATGGATTGAGGACTAACATTTTAAAAGAAATGGTTACGGAACGATGGTTACTTAAGAAGATCACATTAAATATATCATCTAAAGTCATCAAAACAAGCACTTTTTCCTAATAAACGGAGGGTCCAACGTGTTTCGCTTGGGAGCACCGCCAAAGAAGTGGCGAAATTTCTTGTTTAATTTTTAGAAAGCCTGGTGGCACGTTTTGAATAGGTTTTGTGGTATGCCCTTTCCGATTTTGTAAAAATGTTTTCAAAATTCTTACCACGAAAGGGCACACCTCTAAATAGGGCTGCGAAAAAATCCTGATTTCAACGAAATTTTGTTTGGAGGTTTTTGAACATGAGCAAATCACGAATCTGAAATAAGTTTTTGAAAATTCGAAAAAAAACTACTACAATTCTTGCCCGGATAACGAAAATGAAGATAATCTACGAAATTTGCTGTGTACATGCTTTATGAATTAAGGAACAAAATTGTCGGACGGTTTTTAAAATCACTTTACAAACAAAAGTTATACTCATTTGAAAATTGGTCCTTTAAGGCCGGTTGCACAAAGACAGTTTAAACCTAGCTTGGAATTAACCTGTGGATTACGGTTTAGGATTGGTTGATATTTGACGTTTTGTCAAATTTCCACTAATCATATGTCTTAATAAACGAAGTTTAAACTGCGTTTGTGCAACCGGCTCTCAAGTTATCTTATTTCGTATGTAAGTAGTTAATTGAAAATCAATAGTTCTTTTAATTGGCCTTACTTTATATTGAGATGAAGGTTTGGTTAACTTTCACCTGAATTAACTGAGAATGTTTCAGAGCAGGTTTTTCATAGTTTCCAAACCAAAGTTACCGCTCCTAATTTACTTGTTGGGAGCCTGTTTTCTTCGAGTCGACGAGCTTTTAAAGGTTCGAAATGAATTTTGTAGGTATTTTTTGGCTCCGGATTATTCACTGACAAATATCAATAATATTCACTCTAATAAATTCTTTTAATTCAATATGTGAATTCACTTTCTACAATTTTCTTGTTTGATTCGGTTTAAATTTCGCACGTCTTTCAAACGAACTCCATTTAGAATTTTCTCAAGAAGAGTATTTTCTTGAGGGAGAATATTTTGTCCGTAGTAACATTGAATAAAGAATCTGATTATTCAATGGCCGTACGTTCCTTATAGTTACACTTTATTTAAATGATGCATTTCTTATAAGGGCTGAACAGCTTTGTGTAGGACTTGAAACTGTTTGGAACACATGCTATTCACGTTGTTTTCCTTAGTTTTGTTAAATGGGAATATATTGTGGAATTTTGTTGAAGGATCAGTTGACCGATGTCATCTGTTGCCGAGGGTGTAAACAACGCTTAGCACCATTTGAGCCTTTTAGGTGTCACCTTGCTCTTTTTGTAGTCAACATCGTTGTCAACCTTTGGCGCTATTCGGTTTTGCTTGGTGCCATCCAATTCCTTTACTCCCTCTGCTCCATTCCACATTTCACTTTTGTTTTTTCGAATTTAAAGTCAAAACTCTTCGGCAGGGGCATCCTTTTCCAAAGGTGTAGTGAGAAATGTAATAGTAATCGTGAACTTAAAAACGAAAACACGTAATTCTTTTTGCAAATTTCTTATTTTGCTGCTTTCCAAGAATTTTGATTGCACTCTAGTTTTGGGAGAGGAATTTTAAAAGAGTTTTATAGAAAAAGAATATGTAAAAACTGTGTAGTGGAGGGGACTATAACAAACATTTGTTCCCGCATAGACTGAGAGTCAAAAATGTTTCGCTGTCGAGATACCCCAACTCTTCCTCTAGGACGGAGG